AGCTGAGGGTAACCAAAGCTCAGGTTCTTGAAGCTCAAGTTTTATTCAAACATCCATTCCCCAAGTACTGTACTTTTTCTTCATAGTATGAGCTCATCTCAAATTTCAAAAACTGAATGAGCAAATTCGGAAAACCTGATAGAAAAATTTTCGAAGTTTAAAAATTTTAAAGAAAGAAAAAAGTTTTCTCGCGAAATAATTTTCCCTAAAATGCGCTCGCGCGAAGTTTGGTACACCTGCTGGTATGTTATCCGATTTTGACAAAGTGATCTAACTTCCGTCCTCTGAATTTTCGCGAATCGAAGCGCAAAAGTAAACAGTATAAACCGAAAGAAAATTAAATCAAAAGGCTCACCTTCAATTTCGTCGTCATTTCCGTCTTCACTTTTGCAGCACACTTTGAAAACGACTTTCATGTTGTGGCTTTTGCAATGACCGCCGACACGTCGATGCAAATCTTCTCGACTCGACGTGGCTGCAAAGGAAAATGCCAGAAAAAGTGTCATCAATTATTCGCCACGCCGACAGCAAAACAGCAATGCCAAAAATATCCCCAACATTCCGCCGCAACGGAAATACTCGGCAAGACGCCGACATCGCAAACGCTTTTAAACTTTATCATGAAAAAAAAACCACGAGAAAACTAAATGAAAAGAAAACACACCTTCCCCTCACCCACCCTGACAGAAGGAAAATCGAGCATCGACTCGGTGATTACTCAGCAAATAAGCCCAAGTTTATCAAGGAAAACAACGTCGACGAGACAGAGGAAAAAATCGGCATTCCGGCAGCAGAAATGACAATCCTTTTTCTCCGAGCCCCGCACTAGACAAACTACCAACTAGTTTGCGGAATTCCTCAGCACGGCTTTTCGCAGATTGAAAAAATAAAATTAAATTAAAAAACCTGTCCCACATTCCATCACGTTTTCATACTCTCTCTCCCTTTCTCCATCTCCCCCTCCAACCCCTTTTTTTCGCCTCGTATAGATCGAAAATTGAGTACAGGCTATTGATTCTTGCCAGTCGCGAAAATGAAATCGTTGCCGAGATGAGATACTCACAGATGAAGTAGTAGTCATGCCCTGGTCGGAATTCCAGTCCTCCGGGCTGCGGAGTGAAAGATCGGAATGTGATGGTGAAGTAAAGCAGTCGGTCGGGCCGATCGCAAACAGCGATGATCCGGGGCTTCGGGTTCGTTATCCTGCACGTGTCGTACTCTTCTTTCGACACCTAGAAAACATTAAAAAAACACATTTTAAAATCCCACGGCATTAAAGCCCCTTTCGCCACAGGCAACCCGTCCAGAAAGACACAAAAACATAAAAGAAAAATTTTTCTCTCCAGAAAACCCTTCCTGCCACAACACGGAAGTGTTGAAAACCCCGCATTTTTCCTTTCCCATAGCAGAACACACTCCAAAGGATTTGATCTCTCACGTAAGCCTTTCTCAGGATCAACTAAAGCAAATAAGACTTGGAACTCATAGAACAGCGTCTAGATTAGCATAGGAGGAAGGAGAAAAACTCGTAAAATCCGCTCGATTTATTCCTGCTTTCCTCCTCAGTTTTCAAATTAAAATATTAATAGTTATAAAAAATCGTCATTCTGCTTTCAGAATTCATATAGAAAATATCCCTCTCCCCTCACGACCAATTTAAGTTTTATTTGAAGCTTCTTCGCAAAATAAAATGAAATCATTGATTTTACGGGGCTTCGGAGGACCTTAACCCAGGAAATTTTAGTAAACAAAAAAATTGTTTAAATATCCTTTGAATCAAGTACTTACTAAATATATGACGTATTTTTCCGCCGAATGAGCTCCAGGAGCTCCTTCATTGAACGACGGACAAACAATGTTGACTTGGTCGTACTCGAAAGGAACATTGCCTCGGTTCACGTCGATGATGTGGTCTGTGTTGTCGAGTCGAAATCTGCAGAAAACAAAAAAAAAGAGGAGAAATAAAATATGATCAGCGAGGAAATTCCAAAGAAATTCATGTTTGTAGTAAAATGAAACGAGGTCATTTGATTAAAGCTCCGATTCCGGTTTCTCCGCGGGGAGACCCGAGATCCGAAAACTCCGGGCGTTTTCTCTTCTCACCATGACGCACATATCGATTTAGAAGACGGAAGAAAAACGAAATTGCATCTGATGAATGACTATTCCTTCATTTTCTGCTCTTTCATGATGTCGAGTCATCTCAAAAACCTGGGCCCAGCAAAAAAATTAAAAATAAAAATCCAGCGTTCCATCAAATGCACTCCTACACGCGCTAAAGCTTCTTTCACCAGGGAATAATAATCATCGCCGGTCGTCCCTCGGTCATCGAGAATCCCCAACAGCGGCTCTTTGATGCCGAACCCCTGAAGAAAAGCTCATGATCGTGAACAATGAAATGAAAACTGGCCGGCGGAAAAGAGATGGCTTCCCTATTCGAACCGCATGCCAAAAGAGGCAAAAGAAAAACCCGCTTTCGCTTTTCTTCATACTGTACCTCTCTTCCAACGAAGACCGGGGATTTATTCAAAAATATAATAAATCTTACGAAGTTTTATGCGATTGGAACGAATTAAATTTCAGCTTATCGCCATCTTTGTAATGTTAACCGAAATCATGAGTTAAGTTTCATGGGCTGGCAATTTCAATCTTATAAGAACAGCAGGGATCTTGACAAAAGCTCTTAGTTACCAACAAATAATACGACAAGAAAACTTTTCCGTTCTAGAGAGATATTTCAGGGATTTCTAAAACATTTTCGACAGAATAATTCAATAGATTGGTTTCCTTCAGGTTCGCCCACTATTTTATTTGTAAATTTAAAAATTCACATTAACCCGCTATAAAAAATTCACCCAAAGCATTTCAACTCTTATCATCCACAGAATCGACGGTCACTTTCGTCCCACGCCAAAAATATTCACATCACAGTCATATTTAATTGACAAAAAGTCAGCTGTCCAAAAAAAAAGAACCATACATCATCCCGAAAGAAACTGTTCAGAGGAAACCCCCAGGAAGATCACACACACAGACAGCAAGTGCAAAATAGTCGAACTAAATGAAGAAAAACTTAGCTCTTTCTCTCCCTCTCTTGTAACAGAATCTTTACTTCTGAGAGAAAAATTCCACAAGCTCCGAGAAGAATACAGACCAAAATCGAGGGGGTTTCAGTAAGAAAAAAAAAAACGTAAGGAAAACGAAGAATGAAGGCCCTGAAGGAGAAAAAACCCCGTGGTTTGACAATGGACCTGGAAACAAACACACGAGGGACGCCACCGGGACGACACCTCCCGAGGCGCGGGGCAACAACGCTGGCCCACACCTGACGTCGTCCTTGACCGACGCTCCACAAAGCAACACTAGACCGCAAAAGAACCCCTTCTTCTTCTTCGCACTGCTAAAATGCAAACACGCATCCTATTCCTCCGAAGGCAGTGTGCTCTGATGCCATTTTCCGGAGACATTCCAGAGGCGAGCAAAATCCACATTATGACCCGCAACACGCTTGACTTGACTTCGCCAAGGACCACAAAAGTAGCGTGTAACCTTCCCTCCCACGATCAAAAAACTTTTAAATTATTTCCTTTTTGAAGAATCTCTGTTCGTGTTCACCTCTAG